ATCCCAACAGCTCACCAACTGTCAGCTGACGATCTTGGGTAGTAGTCGTATCCGAATCGTACTGTCAGAAGAAGGATCAGTGACAGGCAAGAGAGAGTGCTCAACCAAGGCAAATGTAGAGAGCGTACGAACCAGCATATCGCATTTGCGTAAGGAAGGACTTAAGCTCATTCGGCTTGACCATCATCTTCAGTTGCAATAGAGCAGTAAGCACAGACTTAGTGTCCGAAATCTTGGTACCGTAGATAAGGTTCCACAAAGCTTTCTTGGCGCTAGCGGAAAAAGTAGAGTCAATATTCTCCGCCAAAGACTTGTCCTCCGCATTGTTAGAGTCGAGATGGCAACTACCAGTTGACCGATCTTGCTTAGCAGGGCAACCAAAGGCAAAGCCGAAATAGTCGCTGCCCATACTAGTAGGCAATACCATGTCTGACTTCTTCCCGAACAAATCAGCGAAAGGTTCCAATGACAATTCACCAGAGTCGTCATTTGCAGCACCAAGAGCCTTAGCAAGACCACCTTCGAAATACTGATCCCTGATAGCACTGACGGGTGTCTTGTATTCCTTCTCAATAGCCGCCCTTGTCGTAGCACTCAAGTTACCATACCCGTCGACGAAGTTGTTGGACATAACATGGTAAGCCATGATACCACCAACAGTTTCGATCATCTCAATAGGGTTCAAGAACATATCAGCAACTTCAAGATTACTCAAAAGTGCGAAGTTACCAACAGTAACCTTCCGGTTCATAAGGTCAGTCTCATCGTCCTTGAAGAAGACATACTCGTCCTTCTCCTGCCAATGGGCGATACCCTCCTTATTCCACAGATCAGTATCAACTGAGGACTCGTTCTTAGTGATGCTCATGGCCGTGTGCACAGGAGTAAGCTCTTGCACAATAGGCTTTGCACCCTTCAAAACCTCCTCAGGATTAGTCAAGTTGTATGCATAGTAATCATACTGCATACCCTTCTGGCACATGTCCTTGGAGCAGTCATCGGAGCTGGCATCACACCACGCCGAACTGAGCGCAACAGCACTTGATGACGGTTCCTGATCACTCATACATGTGTTGTACAGTTCATCAGAGCTCATGAGCCAGGCATCATAAGCCTTCCCACCACAGGTAGCATCACCAGCAACCATGTTTTCACAGTCAGTGGTCTGGTAGGTGTTATCGATGAACCGTCCATAGTTAATGCCATCAATAAAGGCATTATAAAACGGTACCATAGCAACTATGGCTATGACAAAACAGACAATAGATATCACAACGGCAACCGCAGACAGAATGAAGAAAACCCAGGGTTTGCACCGGCAGCAGCAACTCCCTGCTTTGTTGTCGGAGGCCATTATCAAAGAAACAGATAGGACAAAAAACTGAACAATGTAAAAAACAGCAGTGGCTCAATATCAGCCTCTGGTTCTGAAGCCTGTAACAGAGAATTAGTAATATCATCAATACCCAATACTCAGTCACTTCTCCCCAATCACGCTACTAAGGAAGCTGATACCACAACTAAGAAACATGATGATACTTTCTATTAGCAGGTTACTAGCGATTTTGATTGTGTTGAGCTGAGTTTATTGTGATAGCTGTCCTTTTTAGTAAGAGGATACTCATTTGAAAACATGTGCCGTCGTTACAGAGCACTTCCTTCACCCTAGCAAGTTCCTTGGTCTCAGCTCAAAGTGTTGCAGTGTTCGTAAAGGTTCTTAACGCTCGAAAAAACCTGATATACAGAATTCCCATGCCCAACACATACTTTCATAGAACACAACCAATATCTTCAAAGCGAGCTAACACGTGCTGATGCACAGTAAGCTAGCACATTGGCTAACACTGATGCTCTACCCCAGCTTTGATTCACGTTCGTATATTGTCTGATAAAGAGGTAGTGATGGTCACTTGTCGAGTTCTATTCCGGAATCCGAATGGTTAGTGTGAGCAACCAACGATTTCTGAAACCCTCCCACTGACAACTAGAACAACAAGGGCGACGACAGATGGTGGTTCATGTACATCATATAGACTGGTAAATGCCATCACTCTAATGGTTTCTCAATAATCTCTACTGGACTGCTGGTAGAGACAGGGGCTGCAGCGTTGATCAGTGAGACCATCCCTGGTGGGGGCCTCCTAAACCTCGCACTCTTCGGTGCCTGCATCTAGGACATACAACTTTCAATACGACACTCGACCCCAGGGAACTCACCGAATCCGAGTCGATACGAGGCGTGGCACTAGCTACTGGGAACTCATCGGATCTGAAGCAAAATCAATATCTCACCTGATAGGCTTCCCATCGTAGTAGGATAACATTGAGAGCTCACTTAGCGGCAGAGGGAGCTGTTGCTAGCCGTTCATGAGGTGCTACAGCAGAGGGTATGCCTCGAGCGCCGACGGGCAGGCCAGTACCACCGCTGGTAGAATGTACACAGACGTTGATACCTGATCCTAGTCCATGTAGTCCTCTACAGACGAGTTATGACATACCCTCTTTCAGAGCTGCTATGTCTCGTTGGGCCATGAGGATGTCGGTTTGAGTTCTCCTCAGATTCTCAAGTCCCCTGCCCAGCTGTTTTTCACGTTGGGCCTTCTGTTTTTCAGCACGCTCTCTTCGGTCCGCCAGCTCCCGAATTTTCGTCGCGATTGAGTCCCTCCTTGCCTTAACACTCCTGAGTCAGCATTATAGACCCTACCTCAACCACTAACGTGCTTACGTCAGCTCGCTTCGTTTCCGCTCGATATCCTGCGTCAGAGCTGTCCTCTTTTTTGATAGATCCCGAGTAGCTGTCCGCTGTTCGATAACTTCACGGTCGAGATCGTGCTTCAATTTTGTCGCATTTTCATAACGAAGTTTGATCGCCGGGATCTCCTCATCCCTCTGAAAGAAAAGGTGTGCACCCGGTTGAATATGATGGCTCCCTGGTCCACCTGTTTGATCAACTGTGTATCCAGAGACGCCAGCTTGGTGTCTTGCTCAGTAACCTCACTCAACAGCGCATTCCGTTGGCGTTTCAGCGACTCTACGTGAGCAGTCATCTCAGATATCTCTATTTGTCGCCGATGATACATCCCTGACCATTCCCTCAAGGCAACCTTGACCTGAATCGAGACGTGGGCTTCCCTCAGCTTCAGAGGCTTACCCCTTCCCCTCTTGGTATGCCTCGCTTCGGCACTGGAGGACTCGTAACGCTACTGGCCGACTCGGGAGGCAGCGGGCCAGGACTCGACGATGCGAACGACAGCAGCATGCTACGGAATGTGGAAGAGAACTACTGCCATGGAAATGTTTGGGTCGACGATGGAACATTGCTGCGTCGTGTTTTTATCGATTACTCGGGCGCGCGCTAAGTGAAGTATTGCGCATCTTAGCCGCGAATGTCCTTGAGACACCCTCTGGATGCGCTGTGGGATGTTACGCTCCCGTCGACTTGTTTGGGCAGCTTGTGGTATGTGGAACTTTCCCGGAAAATTTGAGGCTAATCACGACTGAACTGCATTACGTGATGGGTCTTCACGTAATGCAGAAAAGTCACTGAAACGCTCACAGCCCTGTAAGGCCCGGCCGATAGGCGTGTAGGATCATATGAGATGGTGCCGTCACGGAACTGCTTTGCATGGTTGTTTCATTCACATCCCTAGTAGTGTTCATGTAGTGTCAACGGGTAGATGCCTTATCTTTGTCCTGATATTTTCGACGGACTCCGAAACCTCATTGACCACGTTTGTTGTTGCCTACCGAGCTACATAGGTAGAGAGCTGGACTGCACTGTGAGCGGAGCGCTGCTGTCTTCAAGATTGTTAAATCGGTTGCATCGAATTTCCAACTCTCTGGATCTTCTCCCACCTCAGTGTTTGTGGTTCCTTTCTTACAATGTTTTCAGAAGCCTTTGAAGCCACTGCCCAGCCCAAGTCGCATGGTCTATCTAAAAGCGCTAAGGTATGTTGATTTACTGACAGCCATCATGACTTATCTCATTGTAGATCGTTACTGGGGCGAGCGCTTGTACATTAGCACTGGGGGCTGCATACTATTTATACACTCGACGACAACGACTGCGCAAGAGTAAGGCGTATTATGCTTGCATTGTAACCTCTGTGGAATAGCAACCATATGAACGGCTTTCAACTCTCCAGTTGAGGGAGGGCCGCCGTAGCTCTGCCGATATATCGATTATGGGTGATCAGGCAACGACGAGGAGGAAATGTTGGATTTGGAGAAGTTGAAGCTCATCACCGACGATCTGCTTGTTGACATGCATGGTGTTCTCATGGAGATGGCTCAGATGGCTCGTAGTGAATGAATTGTATACTATGAATGTGTATCTCGTCTCTTCAGAACGTGTCAAGGCCGCATTGGCTCAGAAGGGGTTGTCCACTCAAATGACGGACGATCAGCTCACCGAGATGATACTCCAGCAGGGCATTCAGCAGAAGCTTGAGGAGACGCAGAAACAGGTGCTTCAGAAGTAGTACTCAATGCGGCATTGACTTAACCATGGAATGTTTGGAGTAGGTATGGTGTCACGGCGGAGGAGGTAGAGGCGGCCCAGAAGCGGTACGAGAATGATGAACATATACAACAGTTCGAGAAAGGAGTAGAGGATATGTTCGCCTCGGCGGCCAAGGGGAAGATGCCTATCATTCCAGGTAGTAGCATACGGGTGAATTTGATGTATTTATTGGGCTTAGGATTCGAGATGCCCGAGGCTCTCACAGTGGACATGTGTTTGAAGATCCTGGAGACTATGAATAGTGAGAAATTGGCGCGACTACGGAAGACCCTGAAGGAGTTCTGGCGGAAGCACCCGCATCCAGTTGATGTAGTCTGCCCTTGATCCGGCCACTGGTCTAGTGCTGCTACCTTAGGCTGATCAAGCCGAGTTGGGTGTTGGCCTGCAGGAAGCTAACGACTCGGCTGAGGCAGCGGTTGTTGCTCGATATGCGGATATTGTTGTGAACAAGGCAGTTCTGCATAGTGCTGTTGGGAAGTGAGTTGTCTGTGTGATGGTAGGGGATTCATTGGTCAGGTATATGACCAACGACAAGGCGTTTGCTAAGGAGCATACTCGGTTGGAGCGGACGCAGCAGTTGGAGATTGTGAAGATGATCAAGGCTGGGCCGGAGGGTATCGATGCGCTTGGGGATTCTACCCCTATCGAGCTCATCGACGGTCTTAGTGATCGTCTGGAAGGTAAGTAGTTGTATTATGCTTCTTAATAGCGATCCAGGATTTATTATAAGTATTATTGGCTTTGGCATATTTCTGTGAAGATCGGTATAGATCTTTGATCATGTAAAGCTTGATGATAAGTATAGTAGATATTATATATAAAAATCCCTAAAAAAATATGTGGTTAAAAGTGAGGTTATTTCATATCGTATTATGGAATGTTTTAGTGTACTTGTCTAGGTACCAACGAGGAAGGGCTTACGATGAGGTTGTTGCAGGCGAGCGACGATAAGAGTGGCGTAGTTGTTGCTATCACCAAAAGTAATATAAGTATTATTAGCTCGATTACTTACATTGTTATTCTAACAGCTATGAAGGACGCGGCGAAGTTGATGAAGCCGATATCGGATGCTATCGATAGTGGCAAGTTCGACAAGAGGAAGGAATTACAATTTGTGTATGGAGTGGTTGCGAGGCTACTTGGCCTAGTATAGGATATTTGTGCAGTTATATGGTAGCAGCTGCTGGGTCACCGCTCATTCAGTCGGAGAGGTGTAAGAAGAGTGATATAGTCTATGTAATAGGCAAGGGCATCTGGCTTTGGCTCGACCCTACAATGGGAATGCTACGGATCTACTCTCATTAGATTTGGGGTTGTTATGGGCCTTGGTCTTGATGCTACGTGCGTAGTGTTTATGCGCAGGTTCTATTCCCACGGCCGGACCTTCAACAGCGTCCTGTGGCATGTCTGAGCCTTGAGGAGTTGTTGGATGCTGTGAATGATGAGCAGATGTTTTCTGATAAAGGAGTTAGCCCTTTGAAAATGAGTGCTATGCCCTCGGGCAATGAGACTAAGAGTAGTAGTTGAGGTGGTAGTAGTTGGTTAGAGGTAGTTTCAGGTGCTACCAATGTGGCTGACTTGGATTAAGTTTGTTCTTTATCAATCTATGTATTATAGATATACTAAGAAGTATGACGCTTGAGCGGGTCGATGATGCTCTATTGAAAAAAAGGTCCTTCGCTTCGTTGCCAATGTGTTTCTGCGGTTTCTGAGATGTGGTTGTGAGTGTTGTGAGCGGCCTTTGTCAACTCCTACGGCTGTACGGACCGAGGCGTGTCAATGTTATAGTAAGCAACCTGCCAGGCATCGCTCGGTGGGTTTGCGAAGACATTGGCATTTCCACTAGAAATAGGAACTATCGAAGCGTAGCTCAGCTGCGGCAGCTGTGAATATCTCTGTTCTGTTGTTAGAGGTGTCTTTTGGTGACATGGAAGTGTACCGGGTTTGGTCGTAGTGTTTGTTTGCGCCAACTCTGGTGATTGCTCCACGTCTCACTCCCCCCTGTCATGAGCTCAGTCACCAGCAGTGCATCAGAGAACGGGAAGCAGCCACGGATTGTGTGGATTGTCCCGGAGAAGTTCTGTTGGGTAGGAAGGTCAGGCGGTGGTGGCGACCATAGCAGAGATTAGGTTGGTAACGTCCCTACTACCTGTAAGACATGTGTTGACTATATGAAGTGTCATGAAGAACACTCCAACACTGTGAAAAAGATGCATAGGCATCAGTCCCCAGGTTGGCTCTCGACTTGCCATGTTGAGACTGCTTGGTCTCCTTAGGCTCGGTTCAGCCTACAGGGGATGCTAAGGAGTTTATTGACACGCACATTGGTGGCGAAACAGTGTTGTACTGTGCTGAAAATGACTATGCATTGAACTGCGCTATCTATGTGCATCAGGGAGTAGCTAGCAATAGGCATTTTGGTCCGATGAGCTTCTGGCAGGTGGGAGGAATCCTTCGGAGTGCGTAAGTGTGGTGAATGCTGCTTGTGTAGATATCTAGATTCTGCGATAGTATTGAATCTGAGGTGGAATCGGCGGCTAAGGCGAGTAAGGTTTTGGTCATGATTTCCTCACCGTTTGTGGGGGCGGCATCGAATGCTGTTACCATGCTCATGTGCTATCTGGTATTGAGAAAAGGGTACTCTTGTGATTCGGTGGTTGATATGTTCTCTACTGCTGGTATTGCTGCCTTCCCAAACCCATTCGTGTACATCGCAACGCCCAAGTTGGCAGCGCTAAAGCCTATCGACTGCGCTCGAGGACTGCTTATTGCTCGCGAGAAGGGATGGTACCCAGATGTAGCTGAGTGGAGAGCTCTGAGGGTGAAGTACAGCGCGACTTGGGTGGTACCTGGCCTGTTCTTGGCAATGCCGGATCCTGTCACTATTGATGATGGATTCAGCAGAACCAGTCTAATTAGTAGATCTGGTGAGCTGTGGCAAAGTATTATTATTGTCATACCACACCTTGTTCAGATTTCGATTCGGATACGATGTCGGAGTCTCGATCACCGCCAACGACTCCTACGTCGCTGCCTCAGACGGAAGAGAGCGGTGAAGTCAGTCTAGTGGGCAAGCTACAGGAGCTCAACGTTGGCCTTATATTGAGAATCAACCAGATGCTAGAAAGGAATGATGAAACGCGTAGTGAGGGCAGCGATATGGTGCGTTGATTATCTCATAAAGTGCTAGAGGTGTGGTATTAGACTCCGGTATTGATTATCTCATAAAGTACTCGAGGTGTGGTATTAGACTCTGGTGTTGATTATCTCATAAAGTACTAGAGGTGTGGTATTAGACTTTCTAGTGTTGATTATCTCATAAAGTACTAGAGGTGTGGTATTAGACTCTCTGGTGTTGATTATCTCATAAAGTACTAGAGGTGTGGTATTAGACTCGCTTGTCTTGTATAGGTTGGTATGATCCTGACGCTATCTTACCTGAGTCCATAGAGCACACGGATATCCCACTAGGAGACGGCTCCATACCAAGTGCAGAGGTCCTCATCACCGCGTATAAGTCCATGACTAAGGTGAGGGTGTCAGTAAGGGATGGCCACAATCTGTCTGGCCTAGGTCTTACAAAAGCGTCCTAATGCGGCTATCGCTCTACACTGCCACGCGGGTCTTGGTCGTACTCTCGTCCTCATAGCTCACGTCATTGTCCATGCCCTAGGCTGGTAAGACCTTGTCTGGTTGCTGGAGTGTGCTGATAATGATGAGCATATAGGCCTGAGGGAGAGTACGGTGCCTTACATGGCTGGCTACGTGTAGTGCGTCCGGGTAGCCTTACGAGTATCCAACAGGCTGAGTTCGTTCGAGGTGGTTGCGTGGGTAAAAGTTCGAAAGAATTGGATGAGGCCATTGAAGACTTCAAAAAGGCTCTGATGCAACGTAAACTTGGGGGGGTTGTATGGAGCTCTTGTAAATGTTATCAAGGCAACAGTCGAGTTGGAAGATGTTAGTGGTCATTGTATTGATTATCTCAGGGCATGGGCAGTCGAAGCAGTCGTTGTCGAAGTCGACCCAAGCCTCACCGAAGCGTAAAGCCGCCTATTCCAACGATGATATCAAGCCGCCTGCTGCCAAGGTCTTGGCTATGACGGTTCCCCCTGCTAAACGATCTTGTCTGCTATTGAATGACAATAACGACAACACCAATAGCGGAGTTGTTGTGAGAGTCAGTGACGCAAGCACTGTGGAGGAGTATTAGACTGATGAATACTCCCATGTTACAATGACTGTATTTTCTATCCTTTTTTCTCTAAGAGGGATCAGCATGAATCTCTTCATCTGTAGTCATCATTGGTTAATATTGAGCTTGTAGTGGTGGTGCCTAATTAACGTCCTATGTTGTCACTATTCGGTTAACACACACACAAGTTAGATTACCATAAACACTACCGAGTCTTAGAAGCTTAGATGCCTATCGTCGGCTCGTGAGTACTGTGTCCTTTTCGATCCCACTCTGTTGCGTTACGTAGTGGAGTTGGGTCACTCGAGACGCTACTTTTCGTGCAATTTTCGTGCAACTTTTTAGTGACATCATTGGTATTATTAAGTTCCCTTACGTTTGTTCCCGGTTTACTTCGCATTTTCTATGGGTAATTCTTGCTCTTCCTGTTTCGGATCGCCAAAGGCTCCGACCCCACCTCCAGTTAGCAGTAGTAAACCCGTGATAGGGCCTAAGTCCCCTGAGCCTACTGCTACTGTAGCTGACACCCTCAAGGTGGCTTCTCCTTCTAAGAAGCCCGTGGAGAGTGTATCGGAGGTCACTGCCACCAGCGTCGCTGCGGTATTGCCGTCCAGGAAGGGGGAGGCCGAGAGCAGCCCTGTCCCGACCCCGGCTACCTCTGCTGCATCTACCCCTGGGCCAAAGCCGACATCGGTGGCCCCTATCGAGAAGAGTCAGGAGCAGGTTAGGGAGACTGTAGTTACTCAAGTGCCCAAGGCTGCTGTACAATCAACTTTTGTCATGTCCCATACTGAAGAGAAGGTCGAGGAGGCCCCGGTGACCACCACAAAGGTCGAGGAGGCCCCTGTGGCCACCACAAAGGTCGAGGAGGCCCCTGTGGCCACTACGAAGGTCGAGGATGCCCCTGTGGCCACTACGAAGGTCGAGGATGCCCCTGTGGCCACTACGAAGGTCGAGGATGCCCCTGTGGCCACTACGAAGGTCGAGGATGCCCCTGTGGCCACTACGAAGGTCGAGGATGCCCCTGTGGCCACCACAAAGGTCGAGGAAGCCCCTGTGGCCGCTACGAAGGTCGAGGAGGCCCCTGTGGCCGCTACGAAGGTCGAGGAGGCCCCTGTGGCCACTACGAAGGTCGAGGATGCCCCTGTGGCCACTACGAAGGTCGAGGATGCCCCTGTGGCCACTACGAAGGTCGAGGATGCCCCTGTGGCCACCACAAAGGTCGAGGAAGCCCCTGTGGCCGCTACGAAGGTCGAGGAGGCCCCTGTGGCCGCTACGAAGGTCGAGGAGGCCCCTGTGGCCGCTACGAAGGTCGAGGAGGCCCCTGTGGCCACCACAAAGGTCGAGGAGGCCCCTGTGGCCACTACGAAGGTCGAGGAGGCCCCGGTGGTCGTTTCTACTGAAAATGAGACGTCGGCAACTATTACCGCATCGATGCCTGAAGCTTCTGCGAAGAAGGCCGAGGTTGAGGTGGAAGTTGAGAAGGATGTGACGGAGAAGGTCTCTGCGCATGATGCCGAATCCAGCCCTGAGACGGTGCCGACTCACACTAAGGTTGCCTCCTCTAGTGAGCCTGAGCAAACCGAGAGGTTGATGGAGGCTCTTGTCCAGAACATCCAGAGGAAGCAAGCTGAGCAGCAGATACGACAACTACTCTACAGTCAAGTCCAGCAGCAGGCCGCTACTCAAGCTAAGGAGGAGAAGTCATCTGGGAAGAAACATCATCATAATAAGGCTGGAGGGGAGTCGGAGGGCAGCCCTGAGAGGTCAGCTACTGTTGGTCAGTCTTCCAGGAAGGGCAAGCAGAGCCAGAAGGAACGTAGGGCCAAGCAGAAGGCGGCTAAGGCGGCCAGGAGGGTCCTATGAGGATACTACGATCATTGACGATTATCCCACTGGTGTACTTTGAGCTGATAATAACATTTGTGTCTGGCCTCGCGTTGGACGTAGCTAGACTCGTAGTAATACTCACCGTTGTTGAAGTTTCCTATTCAAAGGCAGTAGTTGTCATTGAGTACTCAGTCAGAGGCTTTGGGAGGTTGGTAGGAGCAACTGGTCACCTCCTTTGATGTATGCGTTGTTGCGGCGGGAGTGGTACTAGAGATCGTGCTCTTGTGGACATCCTGGATCACGACTCCACCACCGTCCTGTCAGCCACATATGAAGCACAAGGTACTACTGACGTCTATTGGAGGGGATATGCTCTAACGCTTGTTTTGGCAGGCGGAGGGTTGCGTCTACCGCCACCAGCTGAGACGCATACCAAAGTGCTCGTATATGGGGCGCCCTTCGTTGGCCTCATTGATGTTGGTAATGCCGAGGAAGGTCAAGAAGGGGCTGTTGGCAGTCGTGAGAAGAATTATCATCGCAAGCGGTCATTCAGTTTTAATGCTGATCAGCCACGTGTGGTAGGCTCATGAGGGTCTTTAATTCGGCAATGTCTACTGGGTAGGTTAGCAGTAAGTCGACAGGAAAACGAGATGGTGCTTTGGTGAGTGCCCCTATTGTATTGGAGGGAGGCGTGCTGGCTAATCGTAGGATAGATGAGGTAGTATAGCAGCGCTGCAAAATATGTTTGCTTTCTTCAGCGGAGCTTGACAGTTTCCTCACTAGATATACACGTTAACATACGAATCCGTGTGGAAATGTTCAGAAAAAAAACCAGAATTTCCCGAAATTTCTTCAGAATTTTCATTGCGTCACTCGAAGAAATATGCGAAAACCTGCTGGAATTTTCCTGAGTTTTCCAGAATTTCTTTATTTGGACACTTTCTCGTTGTGTAGTAGTAAGTGATGACCTACGGCCCGGGGTGCTAGCCCGGCTAGAGGGGCTTCTCGTCAGGTCTCAGTTGGAGCTGGGCATGCTCTCCTACGATGTTCTCAAGGTGGGGTATATGCTTTCGGCAGGAATGAATACGGTCAATGTGGTGTGGGTAGTACAAAGGAAGTCGTTCGAGAGGTAGGAGTCTCTCGTAGTGTGAGCCGCATAGCTCGGCAGGTTACTCCGGTACGTATAGGCCCAAGTGAGGAGGAGCTTGTGGCCTCATCCTTAGCAACGGGGTCGTACCATAGCCTGTGCATTGATGCTGATGATCAGGTGAGGTAGGGCAGTAGTTGCTCCTTGGGGGTAGGCCTCATCCTTTCGTAAGGTACTGGTCTGGGGCCACGCCGACTGTATAGGGCTTAGGATGAGGTCTACCATAGACTCTGGTGAGAATAGACGCAGCGGTGGGGAATACGATAGTGAGATGCAGTGTCGGGCTGGGAAAATATGCACAAGGTCCACTTCATGTGTTGGTGACTATATGATGATTCTGCGGAATTCCTGTTGGTTTTCTATACATCTCGTATACCATCTCCTATTGTAAGTGAAGAAACTCCTAAGCTTAGCTGAGGAGAGCAAGCATATATCCCAACACTCCTAGAGTGTTCCTTTGTAGTTATCAAGGGAGGTCATGTGAGTAGCCCGAGCCGACTGGACATCATAGGGAGCGGAAGCTACACTGTTGGTCACATCGCGGCCCGTGGGAGGAGTAGCTATGCTTTTGTTACTCGTCAAGTACCCCCTGACGGCTGTGCTTGTCTCGAGTGAGTTGGTATCAGGTGGAGACGGTCAGCGTGGTTGAAGGTATGAGCTCATTTAGTTGGAAAGAGTTGATGGTGACACTAGGCGAGGAGGTCATCACCACTGATACGTTAGCTTTGACAGTGTGTTTGAGAGGGCGTAATGGCCAATTGCTGTGCCGGGAGGGAGTTGGACTGGATATTGGTAGTAGTAGTAGTAGTAGTAGTAGTAGTAGTAGTAGTAGTAGTAGTAGGGTAGTCAGCAATATGGCTGTTGTTGTTTCTGTTTCTGTTTCTGTTTCTGTTTCTGTTGTTGTTGTTGTTGTTGTTGTTGTTGTTGTTGTTGTTGTTGTTGTTGCTGTTGTTGTTGTTGTTGTTGTTGTTGTTGTTGTTGTTGTTGTTGTTGTTGTTGTTGTTGTTGTTGTTGTTGTTGTTGTCGTTGTTGTTGTCGTTGTTGTTGTCGTTGTTGTTGTTGTTGTTGTTGTTGTTGTTGTTGTTGTTGTTGTCGTTGTTGTTGTCGTTGTTGTTGTATTCACCGCAACAAAATCTCCAGACCTTACCAAGAATCTAGTTGACCACACTGGCGTTCGCCCAATGGACTGAACGATTGTCATCAGGCTCATGCTGGGTAGGAAAGGAGGATATGTCTGGTAGCTACTTCTTTTCCGGAGACTACTACAATCACCGTCCAGTACTTGTACGTTGGTGTCCGCGGTCCAGAGGTCGGCCCTCGGCTTACTTCTATCTGGCCGATCAAGGGGATGATCGGGCTTGGGTACCGATATTGGAATATATATTCGTTCCTCTTATCATGCGTGTCCTCCTTGCACCACCTCACTCGGAGAGGGGGGCCTTCTCGGCCGAGCATGTTGCGAGTTTCCTTGTTTACATACGAATCCGGGTAGATGTGTACGGTAACCAATAAGAATTTCCTAAGTTGTATCGAAATTTCCTTAGTTCGGGTTTCCCAATGTTTGGTACTGTTTGTCATAGGTCATCACCACGGCTCAGCCAGGGGCAGTTGCTACTCGGTGCAACCCCTTCCTGGTGGTAACCTCTGATGCCTTGGCCAGCCCTTTGGAACTATGCTTGAGAGACACTACTACGTCAGCTGTGGCCCAGTTCAGTTTGACTTTGGCGGGCCACTACGTCTATTTACGCCGTGATGACACTAGTGCACACGCATTTGATGGATGCTATGTCCGTTCGGATAGGCTTATCTCAAGAGAGGGCCAAGTTGTGTATAATCAGCAGTCGAGTACCATTTCCCTATGCCCTAGTCTAGAGCGTAGTAGATGGGAACTACACAGAGGTGGTAGGCTATTGGCCTTTAGTCCTCATGCATTCACTCCCGACACACCATGGTCCATCCATAGTGGCATTGGTCTGTGGTACACACCGTCTGGTGAGGTGTTCAGGTTGGAAGCCATTGTGTTATCTAGTCCAGTCGCGGTACCTGGTCATGAGGAGCAAGCCGTAGAGGGGAGTGGTAGTGGTATCAGCCTGGAGGTTCAGCGTGTTGTGCGGTGTTGTTCTCTTTACCAGTGGGGGGTTTCGGCGTTCGGACAGATCATACCGACGCCGAAGCTTCTGAATGAGTTTGGTAACGACGTCGAGATTTCTAGCATTTCTGCTGGGGCGCATTTTGCCCTCGCCGCGGATCGAACCGGAGTGGTTTATGGCTGGGGCGATGACACGTATGGCGAGCTGCCCTCATCCAACTCCGTTAGAGTGGCTGTTGAGGGAAGCGTCTCGAGGATCGAAGCTCTGGAGGGGGTCAAGGCCAAGCAGGTGGCGTGCGGAGACCGTCACGCTTT